GCAAACGTATTTTTGCTATAACAGTCGACTACATTACTTATTTTTTGTATATAATCAGTTTCGAGTAAATAAGCTATATGATATGTATCATATCGTTGTAGGAAAATTATACTACTAGTCCTTCATCACCCTAAACGAAATAGCGTGAATACATATCATGTAATTGCTTTGTTTGCCTTATTAACGAATTGATCCATTGTGCCCGTTGTCACTTTTTATTTACAGGAGCTGTTCTCTGCAGATAACAACAACTTAGCTTGCATCCTCACTCTCCCACCATTTCAGCGCAGGGGCTATGGGCGGCTTTTAATCAGTCTAAGTGAGTCGTTTCTTATTTATTCTGTACGTAAACCTGTATATAAATAGATTTGGTCTTTGTTCCTTGCTGCATACTTGGTCTCGGCATAAAATTAGCACATTCATCTTCTCACAGAACACTTGCTTTTAGTGTGGGTGCTAGCGACTAATATTTCCATTATTCACCATTACGAATTTAAATGTTGATGGTCCATCTATGTAAATGACTGTAAAATTAAATTTTTTTCAACACGTATCCCTTCCTTGCTTCCATCAGCATTTTTAGACATACTTCAGCCTCAACTTTCTCTCATTTACGGGGGTTGTATTTTTAAATTCTCGAAGCCTTATAGCTTCACTAGGAGATGGAAAAAGTTATAGATATGCTGAAAAACCGGGTTCTGAAGAATCCCTTAATATAATTATGTTGGAATACTTTTCATTTCGCTTAAAGAGGCGAGTGGAATCTATTCGTAAGTTGACCTCATCAGAAGTTATGGGGAGATTCCCCTGGAGTACTGATTGTAAATTTGTGCGAATAGGTCCTCGACGCGCCGCCTTGCGACCCCGATGAGTCCTTGCTGAGCTTTCGTCTGTCTTGTAACGGACATAGTCAGAACAGGACACCATGCCTAACGATAGTTCATCAAAACGTGGAGACAAGAAAAGTGGCCGTCTTCAAACTTATAATCCAATCTGGTCCGCATCATCAGGCATCTCATGTTTTGACTGGATATCCTATACCTTGCCTAAATGCTTGCTGAAAAGGTAAGTTAAGTGGCGTTTGACATTAGATCAGACTATCTTGTGTCCTGAGCGAGCGATGAGTTAGACCAATTGCGAGTTTTTAACCCTCAAACTCTTTCAGACTGTTTTGTGTTCAGCTAATCTCTTATGTATGGGCCTACAGGTCTCTCTCAGGCGCTACCGCAACACAAAATCTTGTAATAGCGCGATCTGGAGAGAAGGTCAGAATATTCTCGAAAAGAAGGCATTATCGAGGAAAGCGTTATTTTCTCTTTATAAACAGTCCTGATGTTCTACCTCAGTAATTCACCCAGCAATAGCTTATTCTTGTCGCTTTACTTTTCGAGAGCATGCATGAAATGCATAGGGGCTCCAACCAATCTCACTAAATGCGTCTAGCCAGGCTACAAAAAATATGTAGGATTGCATCCGGCCACTTTTATCTTTATACTTGGTGAATTAGCGTAAAGCTACATGACGGACAAGGGCTCAGCAAGTATTCATCAGGGTCTCAAGGTTGTGCGCTGAGGACCTATTCGCACAAATCAACAATCTTATTTTCAAGTCAATCCCATTAAAGCTTATGGTAAAGCCAAATTGCTAATCCCTTCCACTCCTCTCTAAACAAAATGAAAGGCACTCAAACATCGAACGTTATAGACTTGAATCAACTCAACCCCTTTTGTTATTTTTCGAATGGTGAATTCAATTTTAGATTTAGAATGAAGTGAAATGCTTTTCATTACATTTTATCTGAGTTAAAGTTTGTTCTTTCCAACGTGACCACTTTTCATGATACCTTGCCTCAATTAGTTAACATTTCGGTTAAAATATATACCCGGCAACGTCGCAATTTTTATAGCACAAGGCCCATTTGGATTTCAGGCTAATTGTTAAAAACGATGATGGTTGGAATCAGGTATGGATTTTATTATGAATAATAATAAGTTACAATAACCTTTTGTAATCTTATTATTTCGTGTTTTGTTATATTCACTTACACATTACATCTACACAAGTTTGAGTTGACCCTTTTTTCCAATTAATCATCTTATATCCCCCAAACAGGTTATGAGCTGGCAAAAATCGAGAAATTGATTGGTTCACCTGAAAAACCTCTATCAGATTTGGGTCGTCTAAGTTATCGTAGCTATTGGGAATACGTTATATTTTCTTATCTCCACAATCACCCTAGCAGTTCAATACAGGAGATCAGGTAAGTGCAAAAATATGTGATAATCACTATAATAACGTTAATAAACATTGATAATGTTAATAAAGATATAACATCGCT